ATTATTCATATACAGTTTTCGATTTTAGATACGGAAACTCGAATTTGTCAGTATAACGACATTAAGAATTTAGGAATGCTTTAGTCTAACTGGGAATCAAGAATTAAGTAAGAATTTTGTAAGTAACTCGGTTCCGTATGCATGAAGAATGAAGTATTTACTAGAAACAATTAGTATTTATTAAAAACACCGAGGAAATACTATTATAACTTCAAGTTACAATCCGAACTTAACCCAGACTTGATACAGCCGAAGCAAGAGTAGGGTATACCTACGCCCAATATATATTCATACGTTGACTGTCACCGATGTTCGGAGCATCCGAATTACAAGAAATATCTATAAAACAACTAACTTCAAATACAAATGTTTAGTAGCGTAAATAACTAAATAACAGTGTAACGCAAGAATTGTGATAGCAAATAATTAATAGTTCTTCCTTTTAATCTTTGCTACAGAAAGAAATAAGCGATACGTAAAACGCTGATGTTTTTTGTGGCAGTCAACGTGATAACATCATCATGGCAATCAACAGTGTCACACATACGTCATGCATAGACGCGACGGTTAAATTGAAGAATATCGCGCGAAGGATATTAACACGTTGAATGCCGCACGATTGCACGGAGCAAAATACACGAAATGGAAAGAGATATAATATTGAATTGCTCAGTTGAATTGCGTTATTGTTACTACGCGTTTTTCTTGTTGAACGTCACCACATTAGGTAATATTATTTATAATATAGTAATGTTTTTAAATAGTCACCGTTTAATTGCAGTTAAATTACAGTTTATTTTATCGATCTTGAAACATTGCATGTTCGTTCATTTAGATTTTGGAAATTAGAGTTTTAAAGATGAGACAATTAGAATACTCGTTTGCGTTATTGCATCAGTGAAAATCGTCGGAGACATTGACTAAATGATGTTTGTGAAATTCAATATGAGTGAAATTGACGTGTTCCGTAAACCTAGCGTTAGATTGAAATATTTTTTAAAATGCTCCATCGATCTGTCTAGCAAGTCTAGAACGAATGACGTTCCGCATCGTTCAATGCGTTCGACGTTGTACGATACAGCGATTAAAAAAAACCTGCTTCTCGGGATGTTCGCGATAACGGAGTAAAACGGAATTGGCGGGGATATCAGCGATGCAGCAGTGGTTCGGATAATTGATGTTCAGGTGACTGACGCTTCGCTGTATCTATTCACAGAGCGCACGAACGACGCGGCCGCAAAGAAAACGTTAATGTTATTCACGCGCGAACGAAGCGGCACGCGAAGCGCTATCACGCTGACGTTTTTAAATTCCTTCATCGGCAACTCTCGGTTTCTTAACTGAAACGAACTATCTGAACTGGTCGTGTCAATGATACTTGGCTGAAAATGACTCGCGAGCAATTTGCTACAACAGATAGTGAACGATTTTCGAAAAATCGTGTCAGAACGATAAAACGAGGATTACATGAAATATAAGAATCGAATAGATTAAATGAATTAAGATTGTTCTTTTGTAAAGTTTCCTTAATTTACGACTTACGAAAAAAAATATTTTCAATATGTAATACTCGAATGATTCAGAATCTGGACCACCGTGGTAGTCAACGTGTGAACCCCTTGTCCTATGATTTCCTACGCAACTATGCTTGATGAAACTATTTGATCGTTAATCATTTCTTAGAAAACGAAAAGAATTTGTTACTTATTTTATGTGCACATTTACTGTAAAGGTTAACGATTGAACATAGGAAAGCAATGCTCAATTCATATTCAAACGAAGTAAACAAAATTTACATTTATCAAATTCACTTTGACACTAGAACTATTGAGCGGTTATTAATATGTCCAAATTCATTGATCCTTATAAATACTGTAACAATAGATCTTTTTTATGTATTTACATATTTGTTACAAAGTATTCAATTGAAACTATTGCTTGTATTTATTTTATTTTTAAAAATGAAGATAAACAAAACTGTTTTTAAAGTAATTATTATCACAGACAGACAATTAATAGATAATGAAGGAAAATATGTTTTCGATTAAAAATAGTTTCGTTTATCTTCAGTTTTAAAAGTAAACGAAATATAAAGAACCGCAGTATTTATGGGATGGGCAAATATTTATTTTTAAGATCTTTTCCGATACTGAACATTTTCAATCAAACAAGTAAATTCAAACTCGTCATTATGACGGTAGTTAATTCCATTAGTATGAACCCTTTGCGGACGAATGTCGATATTCCGGCGAGATGAAATTTTCATATTTCGAAGACTAAGTCACAAAAAAATGATTTAATTACTTGAATAACAAGAAATCAGCGCGTAGTTTCCTTTTGTTCTGTCAATTATACAATTGATATATAATTTAACTTCATCTGTTGAAGGTTTTGTACATTTCAAAGAATCTTCGTCCGCAAAGAGTTGAAATTTTCGTCCGACGCGATATCATAAAGCGAGGGGTTAATAAAAAAAATATATGGCACCCCCGCCACGCGGACAGCGTTGATAGCGACAAACAAGCGGACGCTGGATCAGGTACGCGGGGAAAAGGGTTGCAGGAGGGGGAAAAAAGAGAAAGAACGGGCCGGTGCACGTGCATCGCGCGCACACGCACCTGGAACGGTTGCGAGCAGCTTAATGATTTCTCCACGGCTGCGCGGGGATTTCATCAAACGCACGGGCACCGGCTGCGTTTCCTAATCGAAGTGCTCGTTTCTTTCTCTTTCTTTTCGGCGAAGAATTTTTCTCTGTCGCGCGGAAAGAAAATGGCTCGGACAGCGGCCCGCACGCCGATAATTCAATGAAATATGATTTTTAAAACGGACAGGCGTCGAATGAAAGTACCTCGACACTGCTGTGTACGTTTCCGAACGGCGGGACCATTTTTATCGCGACATTCGCGCGGAATATGGTGGAACCATCGTTGATTGCGATAGAACTGAAAAACGTTCGGGGAATTGGAAAATATTCGGCACGTACCTTTTTTATGGCCGCTCGTGTTTAAGTTATTGGACGGAAATGGAGACCAGAGTCGGGAACGAGGAAAATCTATGTTGGGAAGTGTCTTCCGAGGTAACGCGGACACAAGAAAATTTGGAACGTAAGGATAACGAAAAAGACAGTTTGTCGATGAGTTGAATTGAAGAGTTGATATACTTTTCTCGTTTGTAGTCGGAAAATATTTCATTGAATTTTTGGTGAAATAATGTAAATAATGGTAATATAAATAATATGAATATAAATAGTGTTAATATAAATAATATAAATAACGTTAGTGATAATAGTAATTATTATATTCTTATTCTTAAAAGGAACAATTTTCACGTTCATCGTTGCCTTTATCCACGTTTGTTTTCAAGATACTCGACTCAACAGCTTCTCTCGGTTCTTCCATTAATTTGTAAATTTCTTGACCGGTAAAGAGAACGGCTCGAACAGTCAGATCGCCAAGTTCGCCGTGTACGGCTGGATCATTCGCTGTTTAACGGCGAGATCGAGTACCACTATACGGAAAGGCGTTGAAAATTTCTCTAGAAAGGTGAAATCTATTCGCATAAAATAGTAATCGTTCCAAACGAACGTTGCAGTAAACATAAGCCAATAATCGCGCGAGCGTTAACGACGCAGAAAGAATGTTTGTCAAGGGGAGGAATATTATTCCACTTATCCCGGTCTCGCGGAACGTTTCCGTCGGGGTTTTACGAACTCTCATGCGCCGACGCGGATTCGTTACTTTTAAGTGCAGGCTAGCCCGTAAAAATGTGGGTTAAAGAGAGATTTGTTATTTTTCTAGAGTACACGGAAGAGACACGTGATTCCGGGGGAATTTTATTCCAGCCATACGAGACTCTATTAGGTTACAAGTGAAATATCAAGTTCGTTAAACCTTGAAATATAAATGCAGAAGAGCCGCGGCTCGCTCGCTACGCCGATATTTTCGCGGGCATCGTCGTAAAGTTTCGCTCGAGGATTTTTAAGACCGCAGTAAAAATCTGGACAAATTCAACTACCCGGTCGGATCTTCAGAAACCGAATGCATAATTTACACTTTCTCCCTCCCTCTTTAATTTCCGACACCTCGCATCCACGAGCTTCTACTCGTTATTCCTCGTAGAACGTCGAAATCGTACGTCCATATCGAAATTTCAAGTTAACGCGTCGAATATCGGACGATTTCGATGAAACGAAATACACAAAATGCGAAAAATACAGTGTCAAACTATTCAGAAAGCTTCGTTATCGTTTTCGCACGGTTATCATCTTGCCGAATGCCGTTATAAGTTGCGTCATTTATAATATAGAACATTTTTCCAGTACTCGTTTAATTGATTGAATTACAGTAACTTCGTGACAGTCAACGTGTTAGTGTCAATGAAAGGTAATCACTGGATCCTAAGCCATTATTAATCATTTCTTATCGAACCTTCCTGCAATGTAAACACTACAAATGAAATACACCTGACCCTTGATTCACGCGAGAATCCGATCCACGTGGATTCGTTCTGCGTGAGTCCGTCGGTACAAGAGAAAACAAAATATTGGAAAGAAAATGTGGTAGAAGTTTTGGAAAGACATATTTATTTCACATATCCAACCAAAGAAGATAATAATAATGACATTGCAGACAAATAGAAGTATTCTATTCGCTATGACAAATTCAGAGCGTGAATACTACACGTAGTTTTAGTAGTTTAGTAAATCGATGATAAGGTATACTAGTCATTAACACTAAAACTACCGAACAGTTAAATTGATTTTATGAAATTTCTCTATAGAAACTCCAATTGTGCATCTATTGAAACTTTAATTAATTTCAAATTCAGTTTGCGTATTGCTAAATCAATTTCCTTAATCATTTATCAGAGAAACATCTGTTATCTTTTTAATAATTTCAAGAAAATTACATCAGGAATGAAAATCCCGAAATTACCGATTCGAAACCACGTCTTATCGTTACATAACGCGTAATCTCTTTACATCACGAACGAATACCAACCTGCCGGCAACAGTCCCATAAAAATGCAGTCGCACACTGTCATCTTGATGTTTTCTAATTCCTCAGGCACGCGGGTGACGTGGTAATCGGATCTTGGCGAGCTGCCACGTGGCTCGAACCCTCGTATCCCTTTTTCGAGATGTATATTCGACGGGGGGATATTTCCCACTGTAACGAGCACGCGAATTATCGCGAACAACGCCCGGAAAAACGCAGGAACGACCGAGCGAAACGGTCGGAGCAGAGCGAACGGAACAGCTGGATCGCTCGCGCGCGAGCGCGCACAGAAAAAAAAGTTTGAAAAGCACACCCGATCGGCGCGGCACTCTCACCTGCTGGAAACCTGGTCGAATATCCCCGGGAATTCCACGAGTCGATAATCATCAGCGCGTTATGAAATCGAACGTTGATCGACGCCGCTCGAAGGAAACCGACGATAATCGCGTCGCGCGTTATCTGCTTGATTAGCGGCGGCCAGTGCAAATAAAATGGTTTTTCGTCCCCGATCAAAGAATCTGCCCGATGTTCGCGAGCGTTAACATTAATCCTACCGAACAGCTAAATTGACTTTCCGAAATTTCTCCATAGAAACTTCAGTGTATTTATTGAGCCGTTAATTGATTTGCAATTCAGTTGGCGTATTGCTAAATCGATTTTTTAAATCATTTCCCAGTGAAACATATCTGTTGTCTTTTTAATAATTGCAAAAAAAAAGGAAAATTTCGTCCAGTGTTGATACGTTTCACTTTATCCGGGAATATTCGAATCTTCGCAGTTGATTTAGAATGAAATTTCTCGGCACGTATTACGTGTAATACGTAGTCCGTAGTTACGTATAGTCCGTAGACTGCGTTTGTTTTTAGGAAATAAAATGTTAATAGGAGTAGGTAATGGTGATGATGATAGTAAGAAAATATTAATAGTGTGGTATAATATTGACATGTTGATTACTTGAAAACAATTACAAGAAAACTGATGTCGAATTAAAATGTTTAGTAACATGAGTAACTAAATCATAGGATAAATAATAAGAACTATGATAGTAAACCATTAACACCTAATTCTAGTATCATTTTCCTTTGTTAGAGTGTGATAAGTAATGTTAAACGAAACGCTCTAAATTCTCGTGACGGTCAACGTTAAGTAAATATTAACTCGCATCTAACCCAAATGACTGACTAACGCGGCCATCGGTTAGGAGACGAAGTTCTGATCTAGGAGACTGATTTTTTTCGCAATTACGCTCAACGAAGCTGTTTTATTGTTTATAATTCGTTGGAAGAAGAAAACAAAATATCTATTTTACACTTACACTAAAGCATTGCAAGTAAGTATTCAATCCGGTCTTAGAAGAATTAGAAGAATTTGTTACATTCTATTTGAAATATTCGCTACGAGTCTGCCACGATATTGCAAAGCGTGGTTAATGATTGCTATCACAATTTTTCACGTTTCTATTTTTGGGAACTGATCCTGTTAACGTTTTGTTCTTGAGCAGACGGATTTTTTTAATCGTCTTGAGAATTGTTTATGAATCGAAGATCAAGAAAATTTTTATATTGAAAATTCGATGATATTTGACCAAACTTTGGTCTGTATAATATTAAATCTTCTTGAACTTCGATTTATCTCGAACGGCTGGGAGATTAATCGAACACCCAGCAGCAGTAAATGAAAGACAGTTAACCGAAACTACCCGAGAAGGACGAAACTTCTCCGAAGATTAATTCGGAAAAAAGAGAATCTAACGGAACGGTCTGAGCGAAGTTACCAGACTCATTGTACAGAAGTTACTCGGACGTCGGACGAATTCATCGAAACCGAAAATTCATATTCTCGGCAAGACGTGGCTTGCAATGCAGCGAAGTCCATTTGACACGTTTTGAGCCACCCTAATTACATATTAATGACATATAAATTATGAAGATTTATTCACGACAAATTACTTCTTTCTGTAGTCTTGAAAATCAATTTTTATTTAGAACAGATATTTTATTTCCGAAATTTTTAATTAGAATCTACAAGGTGCAAGAAAATTAAGCTAAAACTAATTATAAATATTATTTAGTTCGTAACAATCCAAGAAGAAATACTGGATTATAAATATTTTAATTCTTGCAATGAGTATAATCTTTTTTGAAACGTTCAGTTCTGCAGTCTTTATTTCACTAACGATTTTAGCTCATTAGGCATGTACAGTATTTCGATGTTGAAATAACTTTGAGAAACTTTTACGTCGGAATATCAAACAACGAAGATTTCCCTGTCACAAAGGGAAATTAAAATCTTTGTATGACAACAAAGATGAAAATTTATAAATTTCACAATTTTAATAAATCTTTGTAAAATTTGTAATACCATTATTACGTATCATTTCATTTCTGTGATTATTCCTATGTGTGTTTACATCGTACGTGTTTACTAATTATGCGAAGGGCGACTGTATCAATAAGTATTGCGCAGTTAGAGCCGTTTACTATCGTTAAATCGACGATCAATTTAGTATTAATCTAATAATTATCATATTTTTTAATGTCACCTATCTCCTTCCACCGTTTTAACAACGCGATTCGGATTCCGACAATGAGTATGATAAAACGTCACAAAACGCATCGAAATTAAAAGATCAACAAACGTTTGTAATCATATTTACACATTAAACGAAAACCGAAATTCTGTTCCTTCCCATCGAGTCAATAACAAATCCATCTCAAATCCAAACACTTCCCCATTTTATAAATCCTTCTATCATTCTAAACCGCATACATAAATCACAAGGCCGCTGAAAACAGCAACACCTCAGAAATCGAAACACGTATGATCTCGTTTCAACCAAACAAACCTACAAAATCTCAATTAAAGTCCCACGCGCAACACTTGTCGCAGTGAAACAACCGGGAAACCGCTGGAACCAAAGACCAGATTCCCAATAATCAACGATCCACGATCCCCTAACCAGAACCCCAATTTCCACATTCGCGAAACATTGACTCACCTGGAAGTTTCCAAAGACGCTGAAGAAGTAGAAGAAGAAGAGGACGAAACGGCAAAATAGGAACAAGAAATCTAATCACTGTCTCGTCGCAGCGGAACTCTCGGCGTAAAGATCAGTGGACAGGCGGCGAAGACGTGCGAATCCGGGAATGAATGGACCGAGTCGGCCCGATGTGTCTAGACTGTTCCCGACGGATCGCGATCGAGCTCGCAAGGAAGCGAATGGGAAGGCGGCACGCAGCTCGACGGCGTCGCCTCGACTGATTCAAGAACCGAGCGTGAAGTGACGGCGCGGCAGGTCTCCGGGGTTTACGTTTACCTGATCCGAGTGTAACAGCGGCGGGTTGAGGACGAGCTGATCTCCTAGCTGAAAGGAGACGGGCTGAGAAAGACGACAGAGCTGCGCGGAAGAGCGACGGGGACAGGTAAAAGAGGAAAACAGCTGGAAAAGGAGGAAGAAAGAAAGAGAGGAAGAGAGAAAGAGACACTCACTGACAGAGTCCCGGTGGCGAGCGATGTGGCGGAGGCGGAGGGGGCCTTGGCGGCAGGGGGAGCGGACAAGTAACAGGTGAGAGGGGCAGAAGGTGGAAGAATGGGTCTTACAACGTTGCCAGGTTGTTCGAGGCCTGGGTATATACCCGAGGATGTGTACGGGTTACGTGTACGAAGCGACGAGTGGAAGCGTCGATCCGGCGCGGGAAGAAGCGGCCACGGGAGTATGGATGATAACAGGAGCGGCGCCGGACAAAAGGGATGATGAGGTGGCTGAGCCTGCCACCCGGGACGTCCGACGGCGCTGTGTACACATTACCGTGCGGCCGGGGCACCGTCAATTCTATCGCACGCCGGTACCAGACTGGAACATTGTAACCCCGGAGTGCGAGAGGTTGCTTCAGTGGGGTTGGATTCGGATCTTGGGGATGATGGGACGATGAGTGTTTGGAATAGGTAGTTGGTTTTATTTTTCTTGATTTTGTAGCGATGATTGGTCATTTTCGTGATCATTTGGTGGTAGTGATTGTGATGATTGTAGTGATAGTAGTAGTGTTAATATTTTTAGATTGTATTTAGTATGTAATAGTAATATTGTGTAGTAATAGTATAGTGTTAATAATAATTCGATGGTTTTCGAAATAGATTGTCCTAAACATAAATCTGCAATACAATAAGAATATTACAATATTATTAATAATATCAGTGACAATGATCATTACTATTTAAACGATCAAAGTTATCGATACGCGTTAGATACTAATTCGATGGCCCTCTTATACTAAACTATCCTCATTATGAATCTATGAACATTCCATGTACCCATTTTCGAAGAACAATTACCATATCTGAAACAAATCGTTTGAATCGGCGTCCGGTACAATAACAATCCAAGAAACCCGGGAACACGTAGTCCCCAGGCAGTTGAGAGACTTACGTCAGCGGTTACCTAACATCGGCTAGGTGTTCGCGAAAAGATAAAAGGAAAAAAGGAGAGGAAGAAACGAACCGGGAAGAAAAACAACGTTCGTCCTAACGGCGGATGGCCGATTTGAATAACGACCCGTAGGTTCTTTATTTCTGCTAAACATTCATAACCGGCGCGTATTAACGACGCCATCAATCAGCCACGCGACAGTCGCAGATTGAAGCGCTGATGCTTTTCCGCAAACAGATCGATTCGTGCGAAGCTCGGGTGTATAACGAGCCGGCCTGCCGCGGCGCGTTCCGCGTGGACAATTCAATTCGCCGTGGAAACCGCGGCGAGCCGCGAGAACGAAAACATGCCGGCCCGTCGCGAATCTTAACGAGCAAAACGTCGGCCTGGTCTGGCCTGGCGAGACGTCGACCCAACGATTCTCACCGGGAGAAACTACGATTCTTTTTTGTTTCCCGGGACGCGTCGACTCCGAATGAGTCACGCGACCACCGCCGTGCCGGGATTGCACATATCGGCGAACAACGGTGGCGTTACAGCGCGGAAATGATTATTTTAACCGAGGATTTTGAAAAGGTTTAACACGTTGAACGCCGCACGATTTCATAGAGCAAAATGCACAAAACGGAAGAAATACAATATTAAATCATTTGACTGAATTGGATTATTATCATTGCACGTTCATCAAACTGAATGTCACCGCGATGGGTAGCATTATTTATAATATAGAAATGTTTACGAATAATCATCGTTTAATTTAGTGAATTATAGTAATTCGATTTGCTTGGAGGTCACCGGTGACCTCCATGGCGTACAACGTGTTAAGGAAATATATATTGTCGTCTTATAAATGATGTGATTTATTTATATGCCTTCTATTCTAACAAGTTAAGGTAAACAAAAGATTTTTCAACCAGTTGACTACATTCGATGAGTATACGCGTCATCTTAAAATCATAATGGTACTAATTTCTTCAACGGTCAATTATTC